ATATATATATATATATATGTGTGTGTGTGTGTGTGTGTGTGTACTAATACGTTTTTGATCAATTTACTATTAGTTGGAATGAAGAAAGTAATGGCGATATTCAGTAGATGGCGTTATTTTGACTTGTCCCATCATGGGCACCAAAAGGGTGTGCTGTGATGACAACCATAAAAACTTTTAAATGTGAAAGTAAAGAGGAATGTAAAAATGTGTAAAACAACTATATATTTTATATCCACTGCCAACTAGGCCTTTCGCCCAATATTCGGGCTCATCAGGCCAGCCAAGATAAGACACCCATAGAATGGTCGAAATGCTGTTTTCTCATGAAATTGCTTCAACAACTGTTTCGGTATGAACTAGATTAATTTGCTAAATTGTAATGTTTATCAATTTTATTTTCATCACTATATGCCAGAATTAGGTTTTATGATTTATTAACATAACCTTTTTAACTTTTCTTCTATTCATGTTAAAATCTCCGTCCACAGTTTTTAGATTTTTAAAGTTGAGGATGTAGTTGTTTTCCTGGCATGTTTGACTACCAATGATGTATGTGTATTGTAATTTCTTTGATGTTCAGACATTCAAATATGAGCAGGCCTCTTGGTTTCTCAAATATAATGTTTTGAGTGTTCACGTTTAATGTCATAAACTTACTTTTTGGTTGGCCTGGGGTTATCTTTAGTCGAGTAAGAATGTTTGTTTTTAAGAGTAGATGGAGATTCGAAACCCTATTAATTAATACTGCATTTTTCTAAATAGACGTCCTAGTTTTCCCACGTATTTGGTACATATAGTAAAACAATAACTTTATCATTGTCTGTAAGATTAGAAGATGGGAAAATATTGTTCAGTACGGATTTTAATGTGCCATTGATTAATTCATTATGATAGTTATTGTGCAGTAGCGTTTCTTGAAGAAGCTTGATTTTTATTGCTAGGTTTCCTTTTGAAGAGAAGTCGATGTTCTTTTTTAATTTAAATGGGTGATTTAACTTGAAATTTAAGTATCTGTCAGTGTGCTTATTCTTTTAGGAGACTAATGTTGTGAATTCTGTTTGAGATTAACTTTTGGTTGCTTGCACATTCAAGAATAGTAGAGAGTTGTTTATTTCAATTTCAGAAGTGAGCTGTATAGCATGGTCTTGCTTTAGAGATGGTGAAAGAAATCCTGAAGAACGTTCAAATAGAAAAAATAGAAACAAAAAAGAAAATATCATCTACATATCTGTTCCAAAGCAGTGATTTTTGAAGATATATCGATATAGCAGTTTCTTGAAGTTGTTGAGTATAAATTTCTATAATAAAAGATGAAAATGAAGATACTATAGAACGTCGTCAAATGTCCTGTAATAATTTTCTTGTCATAGTGACGCTGTTAGAGATAATTACAGCTGAAGTGTTCTTTGCAAGTTGAGTTGAATTATTTGAGAAATAAGGGTTATTTAAAGTATAGGGGCTAAAAACGTTGGCAAGAGCCTTGGATTCTTCGTAAGTTTGAGAATCAATGTTTCTATGTTGTTAAGCACAAAGCTAATACAATGGACTATCTGTGTTTTTCCCACCACGAGTATCGAAACCCAGTTTTTAGTGACGTGAGCCCTCACACTTACCGCTGAGCCACCAGGGGCGAGAATCAATGTAAAGTGTTAAATAACAATAGCTCGCACACAATTATTTTATTTGTGGAATTTTTTGGTAGTTTGGGTTTTTAGCGCAAAGTCATACAGTGACCTATCTACGATCTAGTCATTGTGGGGAATCGAATCCCGGATTTCAGCATTGTAAGTCCGTAAACTTACCGCTGATCCACGGGGGGGACATGATTTTTGATAGTCCATTGGAGTTGTAATAGGACGGAATTATGAGCACTGAGATGTTGCCAACTCATATTTTCATCATGAGATTAAAAAGTTAACAACTCATCATGTTTGTTTCTAGCAATTACGATTCTAAAACGGTAACCGCCACATTCACACGAAGAGATTGCTAAATATATGTTTGCATCTGTAGTAGAAAAAAGTTTCTTGGCTTCTTCTTTCGCATACTAATTGAAGTGAGATAAATAAATACATTTATATAAATATATGAGGGTCAATCACATCTTATCAGAAAGGTATTATAGATCGCGTGCTGCTCCTAGATCTAATCACATCTTATCAGAAATATATTATAGATCGCGTGCTGCTCCTAGATCTTATCACATCTTATCAGAAATATATTATAGATCGCGTGCTGCTCCTAGATCTAATCACATCTTATCAGAAAGATATTATAGAGCGCGAGCTGCTCCTAGAATTAATGACATCTTATCAGAAAGGTATTATATATATCGCGTGTTGCTCTTAAAAATAATCAAATCTTATCAGAAATATATTATAGATCGCGTGCTGCTCCTAGAACTACTTCTATACGTCACCGGCCGTATAAAACCTACATATTTGTTTCAGAAGTCTTACCCTAAAGATTAACAACGCATATCTTTCTCTAATGTTTAACCGATAAACTAGGTAGAAAGAAGCTAGCCAATAGCAACAACTAGCAACTCTTGGGCTAATCTTATCTGATGACATAATTGAATTTGACCGCAAGGGGCGCATACCATGACCATGACATTCGCAGTCCAAATATATTAACACTAGGCTACTCCTTCCCTCTTCATTTCAGTGTAATGACCATTTTTGTGCACTACTGTCCAACACCGCAGTGTTATATTTAAGCGAGCTTCTGTAAAAGACGCAATACACCTTGAAAGATCTTTCGCAAATCCGCTGCTGTAAACGAACGCCGATTTCCGAAACCAAGTTTAAGCAAACCGAGTCCATTAGAGTTAATCGGATGACTTCACAGATATGTGATTGAATTGAAATGCTCTGATTCCAACTTCTCTAGCCATATTTCTCATAAAAATGGTTATCTATTTCTAGGTGTTTGCTCAAAGCTGCTAAACCATTTTTCGATGAGCCTTCGTCTAATTCGTGTTCTTCTTTAAAATCTTGATAACTATACCAAGAGGTACAACTATGTTCACCGTTACGGCTTTCTTCGGTCGGAGAGTTTTCTTTCGTAAATATAGCTTGAATGGTCGAGAATGTGCCATGAACAAAATATATGGGAGATAAACATGCCATCCGAGGCGCCGAGGCTCGCATCAGCATACATTAATCGTGCATACAAAGTGCGATTAACCCTTTGAATATAGAAGTATCTTTAATCTGGTGTTTTCCTGTAGCATATGTTGAAATATATAAACTTATTGAACAGAAACACCATGCGACAATATCATATTTCTTTATATGCAAATTTCGTTTACATACTTATTTGTTTATTTATCAATACATTACTTTCTAGAATTACTTAAGAAAGCAAAATAGTAATATTCTTCTTGAAGAGTTGTTTCACTTGAAAAAAAAAAAGAATATTACCAAATGCGATAATATATATATATATATTGAATATGTAAATCGCTCTTGTTAGGTATGCTGTAGATTTAAGTACACACATTTCAGACTTACAACTGACATAGCAAGTGTTATTGGTGTAGCAAAGCAGCTTTGCACTATCTAATTAATTACGGTAAATTTAACCATCACTACAACCAAGCAAATACTTCTTATCGGGCCTGATTCTAAATTAATCTATCTGTACTTTTCAATCTCCACTATACTTGTATTGGAAGTGCTTATTTATCGGATGTTTCTTGTGCTATTAGGTAAAAATTAATACGTCCAACGTAAGATATTAATAAACGCTATGCAAGAAACTTACTAATTCGTAAAACAGCTGTACATCATTGCGACGCATAAATAAACTGTTGATACTTTAGTTAAGTTTCCCA